AAATCTGACCAGTTATTAACTGCTTATAATATTTGTACAAATATAGGCTCTTTTGGGGTGAGTTCGTTTTTGCCATACCTGTATGTAATTTAAGTAGGGAGTGTTTTCATATGATTGTACCTGTGTTATACCGTTATTTTGTTATGTTACAGCCTTTACCTTTACCTTAAATATCTTACCTTAAATACCTTCCTTCCTTTTCCTGTTCTTTACCTATTTCTAAATGACGTGGACCTAGCCTATCATTTGATTACTCAAAACCGTCTGCCTCAATACCCTTAGTTCACCACGCTAGACGAATGCAGATTGCGTACACCACAGGCTTCTAAAGATTGTGAATTTTCTTTGACGGGCAGGTTTCGTCACGGTGTTTTTCTTCATCGTTAGTGAGATGTATTGCTACTGAACATTGACAAATGTACGTAACTCAGAAATTAAAATCATAGTTGCCATGCAGCCGTAGGAATTCGAATAGTCCACCAATCGAAAAGGAAATTACTGCCTGCGTTGCTGTAAGGTTACCACTTTGGATTCTATTGACAATCGTGGCATGAGGCTTATAGGTGACTCGGAATTAGTGAAGGCGAAGCTGCAAAGCTTTGAACACTGCCGTAAAGTTGCCTGCTTATCGGTATTTTACAGGACATATCACGGAGAGAGTGCGATGGAATCACACGATTAAATTCCACCTTTGCCTTTCCATCATCGGGGGACTAGACGTAGGCTTGAATTCCACCCCTACGTTGTGGATATTACAAAGACTCGCAGGAAGCGTTACGCTTCCACATTTATATGGCGAACGGCCATGGAGTGGAATTCCCTGCCTGCAGACTTGTTCCTTGAACGTTATAACTTGGGCCTTTTCAAGGCGAGAGTGAATAGGCATTATTTAGGTTGCTCCATTATCTGTAGTAGGGGCCTACATTTATTTCTCTCGTGTAATTTGTGGTTGTCTATGTATGTGTTCATGGCACCCGCGATACAAGGCTTCCCTAGTACGGGTCATGAGTGTTTTTAAAATGAAACTTGAAAAGCAACCATTATTCCACGGCCCTGGAACAGTTGTCAATAAAATTGAAGCGTAAATATGTTTATACTTTCATTTAGTATAGAGTATAATAGCTATTTCGTTATTATTATTGACACAAAACTCTCCCAAGATCGATCTATATAGATCGGAGCTAAACAGCCGACCTTACGAAACTTCTCTATTTACCCGTTGCAGATCTTTGTTTTTGTTTTTAACGGAGGAGCCTTTGAAAGTTTTATCTTCACTCAGCCTACCGAAGTACCTTTACAGCTGCCAGGGGCAGACAAGAGATGTCGCTTTATTCATTGCAATATTTATTTTATTGAATATTGTAATTATTTTTGTCATATAGTTTTTTAACGTACTGAAACTTAATCGACATAGAATAAAACCTCGGAAGTTGACATAACATCATTGCATGTTATTGGAGCAAGGAATTGTTAGCGAGTCAAAGTGATTGGTCATTCCCACGAAGTGCAAACACTCGAAACGATTCATTTCTCGCAAACAATTGCCTAATATAACCTCACTTTGTTCAAGATTTACGATTGACTCTGTCCGCGTGAAAATCACGGTAATACGGGACGAAGTGTTGTTACATACTGTAATAAAGAGGTTTATTATGCTTGATATAGTATACTTTATACCGCACGAAGCGTTACGCTGCCTCGTTTGTATAGCGAACGGCTTTCCGTACCTGTAGATTTATTCCATGAACGCTTTGACTTAGACCTTTTCAAGGCATCATTTAGGTGTGCTTGGTCCATCGTCATCGGCTTCAAAATGCTGTACGTGACGAGTCATCCATAGACAAATTTAAAGCACTTTACTGAACAATCAAAAACATCCACTCTCGTTACAAAAATCTGTCTAATTTGTTGACATTTTAAATTAGTTTTCATATACCCATGTACTCTTCTTCGTAGCCTTTCTAAATACACATTTTTACTTGGATTTATTGCACCAAAACATTTTATTTATTTATTTATTTATCTAACAGGAAGATCAGCAGCTTAAAACTAACGTAAATGAAAATAGTAACGACTGAGAGCCAATTATAGATCCTCACAAATAGAAATATAATAAAAAACACTTGGATACACTATTTAAGGTATAAAACAAAACATAACTCACTTTAAGTTAAAGAATTGCCCACTCAATGCTCTCTTTGCCGAAATCGCACTCGTATTAAAAAGATCCAGATCGAATGAATTACACATAATGTTAAAATTGTTACTTGCACGCCACATAAACTCATTTTGCCTATAATTAGTACGAGCGGGTGGTAGAAACAAAAGTGAATTGTTTCTTAAAGATTTAGATGGAACTCTCAATGATATTTCTGATAATAAGTCTGGACAGTCAATTGAGCCCGATGCTATTTTTATTAAAAACATTAGGTCACTAATGTCACGACGCATTTGAAGTGGTAAAAGATGATGCTTTTACAGAGACTGTAATAATCCAAATTTGGCTGGCATACTCTAAAATGCTACGGACAAACGAGCAATACAGTATTTTTATTGTCTTCACCTGTGTAAAATCTTTGACACAGCGCATGATAAATCCTAGGGTCCTAGATGCCTTAGTCACTATACTGTCAATATGCGAGTCAAATAACAATTTAGAGTCATGTAGAACATATTCACAATCATTATTTTCACTTACAGTTACACTTATAATATGTATATTCAAATGCGCACATGCTCTTAAATGTTGAATAGGTTACTATAGTTGCACTATTCACACTTTAAAACATGTATTATTTTGCTGAACAATTTCCCTCCTAGTCGTTTATTAGATCTTTCATTACAACTTAGGGAACTTAGGCACATGCTGAGTCAGCGCCATTTCACTGCTATGATAAAAATGTTTTATTTTTCCTGTTGTATTCAATTTTTATTAGCGTCATACTAGTGAATAAAGTGTTTATCTATCTATCTATCGTCGACATTATCGTCACTTTTGGTGCAATTACAGGCACGTGGGATTTATGTATAATACAATACAATATATTTATTTGCGTTCCACAATGGTATACAAGGTGTTATATAATGGAAAGATCACACATCATGGACCCTTTTGGGCACAACATAATCTCAGTACAGAGTACTAAAAAAAAAGACCTCAAAAGTACGTGGAATTACGTCGATTTGCTAAGTTTCATTGAAATATCCCCTAGTTCGGCACTATACAGGACTTGATACTGGAGATAATAAAAATAGGTATCACTACGACACTACTTAAAGTATATCGAGGGAAAAACGCCTTGAGTTGGATAAATAGCAAAGTCAACTAAATAATTGCTAAAAGTAATTGCTCCTAAATTAAAGTTAGGCGCTATTTATAAAAATGAATCTTCATGCGTGAACACCCACCCTTTGAGGTGGATGATTTCCTTCAAAATAAAATGGGACCACTATGGAAGTACCCCCTTTCCAAAAAAAAAGAATAATGAAAATCGGTTTACAAATACCGGAGTTATCGCGTAACATACATACAAAAAAAAAAAAAAAAACATACAGTCGAATTGAGAACCTCCTCCTTTTTTGAAGTCGGTTAAAAATAGAAGTGAAGAGAGCAAGAGCTATATTCAAATGCAAAACTTTTTGTTAAAGGGTTCTGTTCAAAGGTTTTTTAATATCATAATAGCATTTATTTATTAATAAATCATTTAGTTTTTAAAAAAAATTCTTGTTATGTTCAGTTCATCATAAATTTTTATAGCCATGACATGTGGGCTAGAGGAATGTAGAGTTAATCTTGACATTGGAAGCATTAATCTATTTATGTGACGTAATAAAAATTTTGATGGAATGTCTTGACGGCGCTTAAAAAAATTCTGGTTATTGCGAGCAAATTTACAAATCTCTTATATTTATATTGAAGGGAGCGTGAGTAACTTGTGCTTCTTTTATTTTAATTTATCAACTTATGTCTCAGGGTGACGGGCGCAGTGGCAGTGCCCTTAAGACCTTTTACGCTTTAAAGCTCTAAGTGGCACTGCATTTTATCATCGGGCGTACGACTTGTTCGTCTCGTCATTCGATATTATTTAAAATAAATTCATCAGGTGAAATTTAGGTCAAATGTGGAATATATAAAAAAAAACTATTCTACACGAAGTACACTGGTCGGCGACGAGTGCCGAAGCTGGTTATGACACCCTTCGGCCAACTTCCCTCATGAACGTCGACAGATGTTCGATCGGCACTCTCACCAAAAACGAATTAAAATTTTAACAATAAAAAATTACTTTCTGTCAGACCAAAACACTGCAAGGTTCAATACAGTGTTTTGTAATTTCCCCGGCCAGCAACTTAAATGTTTTTGATACGGATGAAGAACTTTCAAGTGGCTCTTTTGTCCGTTGGCGCAGTCAAAGTCGTCAGCGGCCGCCTGCAGAATATCCTTTATAGAATAAAAAGTTGCTTTGTTTAGTTTAAATGAATAGTGATTAGCGGTGAATTGGTATCTCACTCACTTTGTCATAACCAATACAATCATCAATCCATTATACGTCTTTCACTGCTCATGTTTTCCAAGATTTTCCTTTTAGTTTTTCTCCATCGTTACCGTGAAGTGTTGCTAGCAAATATTGTTAGCAAATATCTCTCTTCTCAAAATTCAGAAAACAGCCGTTCTCCTTTATTAAACAATTTAAAAAAAAGGAGAAGTACTCAATTCAATTGTTTTTTTTTGTGTGTGTAAAATGACGATGATTTATTTTTTTGTTGGAAAGAAGGTATCTGAGTATTTGTCTTATTTAAGTTTCGCGCATTTTCCGTTAACCGATTGCAATAAAACTTGGCAAATAAATGTAATTCCAATAAAAAAAGCCGATAAGCGAACTTTTCAGACTGTGTTTTTAATAAAAAAAAATACAATTATCATTTGGTTCGTACGGCATTTCAATGTCATATTAATCACCCCGAGACCCGACTATAAAACTCGTTTTTATCTTCCCCAGATGATGAGACACGCGTGGAACAACTACAAACTATACGCGTGGGGCAAGAACGAACTGAAGCCAATGTCCAAACGGGCTCATTTGTCAAGCGTCTTCGGGCCGCACGACCTGGGAGCCACGATCGTCGACGGCTTGGACACGCTGTACCTGATGGGCATGATGGACGAGTTCAGAGAAGGCCGAGATTGGGTTGCGGAGCATTTGCATATTAATGAAATCGTAAGTATTCATTTCGGTTCTTAACTATAAGGAAGTCACTACACCTATGGATTTGGAATCGGCTTGAGCCGGAAAAATTTACGACACAGAGATGGCCGCGGGTGCGTTCCGGGCGCGGGATTTTTTGTAATTTACGAGTTCATTTATGAATTCTGCTACACTGCGGCGACCGCGCGTCGTGGCGACTTTGACTAACCGATACCTCCAATAAACATTACGCCAACTGTATTTTTTGGTCATATTCAGTTATTTTTGTAAACAGCCATATTTTTATATACAATTTCGTGAAAAACAAAATGATGAAACAAAAAACAAAATTTGAAAAAATAAAACAAAAGAAACCAATTCAGTGACAAAAAAAAATTAAAAATGAAAATAAAAACATAACAGATCAAGAAATTAAGTTAAACTAAGTTAAATTAAACTGGCGGACCGGGTGCGGGACCAACCCGGGGCGAACGCGAGGCGGATGCGGGCGTGAGAGTTGTATTCCATTGAGTTCTATGTTCTGTGCAACCGTCCACACAGAGCAGTAGCAGCGGGCGCGATCCAGGAGTGGGGCTTTAGCAGGACTTTAGTGAGATTTGACGTTGTATTTTTATATTTAATATGTTTTTATTTAGTTCCAATATGAATTCGACCGAATTCTCTTTTTGTTTTGCTTCCGTAACGCCAATAAAAGCAGAAAATTTCCTTTATCATTAAAATCTGTGTGGAAAATGAAACGTGGCCGCTTGCGGTGTCACACTGGCCGCATTCGGGCCGCTATTCCGAAGCGAACTACGCTCAGGGCTGCTTTTCCTGCTGTACCGCCTCTGTGTGACCTGAGCTTTCGTCCATGCAATAAAAGCAAAAATGATGCTGCGCTACGGGAAGAGAATTACCAGTAGGGTTGCAGCAAGTGGTCGCGAATGCGTGGGTGTTATAGTGAATGCTACAATAAACATTGTATTAACAATCTAGTGGAAATAGTGTCAAGCGGTTTAAATACTAGAACCTTACATCTTACATTATGTACCAACGTAATATGGTCTTCATTCGATACAATTATCAAACGAAATTAGATAAATACGTAGTAAATGCACCTTATTTCAATACAGTAACATTTACTATTAAGTATGATACACACCTTAGAATAATAACGCATAGAAACTAGCCCGCACACGCTAAGTGAGGCAAATTGAAGCGCGCCCAATGGGCCTACACGAGCGGGCGGGCCTTCAGTGCTCAAGGTCAACTTTCACCGAGAACAGATCAAGAATTTTAGCTAAAACTGACGAAATGTGCGGTAAATGAGTGTAAAAATACGTCAGACAAACATAAAATAGATACTAACATCACATTCCACAAGGAAGTAACGCGTTTCAAATTGTATTTTTATATAAATATTCACTAAAACCGAAAATTAACCTACTACTAAAACTAGCCTACATGAATTTGATTTTTGCCTCACTTGTGACAGTTCGTTTGATATGAACTATCATTCTATGCGTTATTATTCTAAGGATACACACAGAGAACGTGTGCGGGTCGGGCGCGTGTCGGGTCGGGAGCACAGCGGGTGTAATTCCGTGTATTCATATGGACACACCCGATGTCAGTGTGTTTTGCGCTTCACTAACGTCAATCTGATAATACTATTTCTGATTATATAAATAGCTAATATGAACTGTTTGCTCTTGTAGTTCCGTTATTCAACACTAGATGACACTGTATTTAATAGTTCTATAGTCAGTAGCTCTTATGGGAATTTACATCCTATATACATCAATAAGTGTTATGACCCACACGGTTTTGTGCTATAGAACATAAACTATAGCTACGAGAGAACACCCCTTCTCATTTCCACTCGTTTTTTACTCTATGATAATAGACTTTTACATAACTTGGTAACCAAGTTGATATTAATTTTTATCGGTGAAACAGAATTCGTTCTTGGCGCCGAATTTGTTCTTCCATTGTTTCGTAGGGATTCTAATTTTCTGGTTTTATTACTTTATTTTTAAAAAAATATGTGTGGAATGAAACTAATATAAAAGTCGTTTTGTCCTTCAATTACGGAAAAATAATTAACGTAGTAATAACTATTGTGTAATAATTGATTGGAGCAGGCTAAAAGAAATCTATTGTTTTAGAATAGAAACGTCTGGATTAAGTATGAAACTAGAAAGGAAATGTTTTTTATCCGCCATGATCTCTTTGTTCTGAAGAATCTTTGACATCGTTACGATATGCGACATACGTAAATAATATAGCCTAGAATTACGACATATTTGTTGTCTTTGTATACGAGTAAAGTGATTGCGTTATATAAAAGAGAATAGTTATATTTGCCAGGAGCGTAGCTGAATAGCCGAATGTTCGGCCAAATTATTCTACCCTGATTAACGCACATACGAAAATTGGCGTCAAAAATAATAAATAATTTTGTACATTGAAAAAAGATACTTTAATTTGCAAATTTATAGTTTCAGTTTATTACTTAATGAAGAAAGTAATTGTTTATTCCACTTCAGTTTGATTAACTTTCAAAAACTTAATTTTAGTTTTTAATTTATTAATTACGAAACTTTTACGTTAACATCATCATTGTACGTTACTATTTATAAATATGAGATAAAGGGAGGTGGTTCTTTCGTTTTCCGAAAGGTGAAACGAGGTAAATAAAAAAACTTATATCTGAGACTCATCCAGTTATTGTTTCCACCATTTATTTAGTGCAGAGTAATATATAATGCAGATTTATTATATCAATATAATGAGATGTACTGTAGTAGACAAGGGTTCTCGAATGTATTGCCGATAAATATGTAGTGAAAATAAATATGAACTAAACAATGATAAAGTTGGTCACGCAATTTCAAATACAATGGTTACTTTATTTTAAAGTACCTGTCCAAAATGTAACATTTTAGGTGCTTTTAAATTTAATTTTCTTAAATAAACTTTGTGGATTATTCTAATTAGTGAATTATTGAAAAATATATTATTACTTTGATATAAATACCTAATGAACATGTGTAATTATTATGATTCTATCAATAGAATTGTAGATAAATAGATTCGCATTCGATATACATTCGTGTACACATTTGCGCGTGTGCAGAGAGCTCCTTGCTGTATGTAGTAGTAGGAAAATAACTTTCGACCGTTGTATAGAGCGTCCGGGTTGTGCTGAGGGCGCGTTCCCATTGCGTTTTTATTTATCGTTAGACGACTGTCGAGTCTAGCCTGTTCCCATATCACGACTATCCGTCATGACTGTGTTGTGGATGTTTATTTTATCATTGTCGTAACGACTGTCGTGTCTAGCTGTTCCCACTATATATTGACGACAATTTATCGGTTCACGGCAGCCGCCTTGTCGTTTATACGACAGAATCGTTTGAAGGTGCGATTGCGATTATCTGTCGGTACATTTTTATCGTGACTTTTTATTTATCGCCGGACGACTGTCGTTCTAGCTCTTCCCATTGTTGCGACAGTCTGTCGTCGTAACGTCAAATAAGTAAACGTCTATCGTAAACGACAGTTAATCGTGTTGTTCTATGTGTGAACAACTTCATTTAAATTATATAAGCCACGACACTTTAAACTGCACGACTATCTGTCGTCACGACATAATGGGAACGCGCCCTAAAGGTTGAACATGTCTTTTGTAGAAAACCAAGCAGTGATATGAGCATTGTTAGAAGCTGGTGAAATTACAGGCGCATGGGACTTCTCAATGCTATGTCTCAGGGTGACGGCCGCAATGCAATGACTCTCAGATCTTTGCTAGTTTAATCTCCGCGAGACATTGCATCTGTTATGGATAGGCAAGACGCTTACTACCAGGCGCACGACTTGTCTAGACACTTGAGATCATAATAATTATAACTTTTTTTTTTCTTTTTTTTTATTTTTTTTTATTGCGACTCGACAAAATGACTGCACCGCGCCTGATGGAAAGTGCGAATACAGTCCAGAGATGAGAGTAACGGATGGAAAACACAAATATCTTCACTCCGTCACTATCATTTTGCCGGTCTGGCCAAATGCACTGGATGTACACCAACTGATCCCTGAACGCGATTCGCAAAAGCGTTTCACTGTGGAGGGTTTTCCGCCGTGTGTACTGTGGTCGCTATCCAGTCGGCACAGAGCCTACCACAATGCTAAGCAGATGGACACTTGTGACGCCCTCGGTCGCCTCTTACGACCCCCACGGGCATGTATGGGGAGGCGACAATGTATTCTTAAGCCGTCGCCCCACGGCTAAAATATAATAACTAAAAAAAACCGACCTCAAAAGATCGTGGAATTACATTTATTTGCCAGGTTTTATTGAAATCGGTTATCGGAAAGTGCGCGAAACCGGATTCATCCCCTAGTTTGCCACCCTTAGAGGTGGAAATTGTTTCATAAAATTTAAATGGGACCAATACTGAGGTACCCTGAGTCCAACAAAAAAAGAATCATCGAAATCGGTTTCTCAAATGCGGCAGTAATCGTGTAACCAACAAAAATAGTACAGTCGGTTAAAAACATAGGCCCTCTTACAAATGTGGGTCGTACCTGCAGATGTTTGCAACGGATATGAGTAATACGTGGTCAATTGGAGGTGCCCTCTTTCGAGAGTGGGCTAATGGAATGGTGCGCAGTGGGTTCTGACGATTAGTGAATTAAGGACATTGCATGTTTGATTTTGTCCTAATTATTGCAGAAGGCACGTGTTTTAGACCAAAAAGAAACAGTGGTGTAGTAGGAATTTGTTTGCTTTTAAAATGGAGTCACTACTTTTTTAATGGGATAATGTTATTTAATCCTCAAAGATATAAATGACTTATTATGCACTTTTTTAAATAAACGATGTTTTTTTATGTTTGATATATCAGTGCCTCCAGTGCCTTTTGTTTTTATTGCACTATTGGCTTCAGCATGTCCGATAACATAACATATCATATACGACATCTCTCTAGCAGTCTCCTAACGCCGTTTTCTTATTGCACTAAGAGCACTCACTGTTTTTAAAGGCATAATTTTAGTTATCAGGCATATTTTATGAGTCTAAAGGTACAAGTGTTCTCAACTCAAAAAATACATGCATGTTTAACGAATAAGTACAGATATATTTTTACATAAAAACACTTTTGATATTGGTCCTTATTCTAGAGTGTACATAAAGGTATAACTGAGCATTCCGTTTGTTCCACTGGACACGATTGGTCATACCCGCGACTATAGCGTGTTGCTATTGGTTAATAGTTCGCAACAGAAAACTAGTCGTTTTATTCCTTTAACGATTTTATGTATTTTATCCATGTGGTTAGTATCATAATATTATTATAACCATAGAACAGTCGCAGTTATTACGTTAAGCATTCACAAACAAGGACGCAATTCGAAAAAAAACTTAAAAAATATGTAGAAAATCTGACTGAATGTTTAACCAATACCCATTAAACGAAAGCTTAAATATATGTCTAAAGCTAGAAATCATAAAATCTACTAATAATAAATTCGAACAATCAATAAAAATATGTTTTTTTTTGCCTCTCCTGAAAAGTGTCGATTTTGAGTTATTCCCTTTTTCACCGGAGGCACTGATATTATTATTGCATATTAGATGATGCAGTTGAAGTCTCAACTGCAAGCAGTTGAGTTTCGACTGCATGCAGTTAATGCGTGAAGTCGTTATCAACTGCATGCAGTCGAGGTCTCGGCACGGAATCAATCTGTTAGCAGCTTTAGATCGAAAAGAATTTTCGTGTGAATCTTTATGTCTATTTATTCTTAATAACAAGATTTGTAACTTACAAGCAATGAACAGAATATAATATAATGTAATGGTAAGAAAAATGGTAATAGAAATGCATAACGTCGGGGACAGTGCAATTACGCGTAAGTAGCATTGGATGATGAGTTTCGGTGATTTAGTGGCCAAACCAAATCCGCGTAAATATGAAAAAAAGCGTGGTTTATCTATTGTTATCAATCCGTAGACAACATAAATTAATGCTCACTGTGCAAAAAATAAAGTCGGAGCCGTTGAAATAACAAAATAATAACGTTAAATCCCTCTCCTGCAAAATTTGGTTTAGTGCTGATACGCGCCATTTACTAATACTATCCCCGACGATAAGTATATGTTTGTCAAAACAAATAGTAACTGGTAGTTTTGAATCTAAGAAAAAGAATTAACTAAACACTTATTGTATCGTATTGATTTACTGATAATGTTTTTATCTACAACCACTTATAGATAGAAATGTACTAATATTTAACGCAGTTATCAAGAAAGACGATAAAGACTCGTCTTTGTTAAGTATAAAAATATAACTATAAACAATTAAAACCAGCTATCATGGACCAAAAAGTCTAGAGGACTGGTAATCTCCATACAACGAGACGGTAACTCTGAAAATCACCAATTAAAACAGCACAAAATTTTAAATTTTTGGTTAAATGTATGAAAAACATATATAATTTACACGGACAGCCATTAAATTTTAACTTATTACTAGTTTTTACTGAAGGTACGTTATTACTTAGTGTACAAGTTGGTGCAGCAAACGAGCAACTAGCCAGGTGAAGACTGAAGATCAGCAATGCTGAGTCTTTAAACTTGTTGTCCACATCACTCAATTGTTTTTTTTTCTATTCGTTTTTTAAGTATTGTGTTCATTGTTTTGTGGAGAAATAAATACCTTTTTATTTTTATTTAAAAAGATCAAAATTATAACTAGATGGCGCTGTTCCTATTGATCCTGGAAGTAGTTTATATTCTGTAAATTTTTAATTTTAAATTTAAATTTAAATTTTTAAATTTAACTGCCTCCGTGGCCGAACGGTTACCATGCCGGACTGCCACGCAGAGGTCCCAGGTTCGATTCCCGGGCCGAGAGAAATATATGTATGGCCTACAATTATTTCTCTCGTGAGTTTGGGTGTAATTTGTGGTTGTCTATGTGTGTGTCCATGGCACCCGCGACACAGGGTTTCCCTAGTGCGGGGCTATGTTGAGTGTGTGCGTTATTTATTTATTTATGTAAATGGCCTTCGATATCTATTAATTCCAATTCAAAAATAAGAATTAAGTTTTTTCCTTGTAATATAATATAACTATAATTATAATATAATATAATATAATATAATATAACAAATATAATATAACGCACGCACTAAACATAGCCCTACACTAGGAAACTCTGTGTCGCGGGTGCCATGGACACACACATAAACAACCACAAACCACACCCCAAGTCACGAGAGAAATATAGGCCATATTTCTCCCGGCCCGGGAATCGAAGCTGGGACCTCTGCGTGGCAGTCATGGTAACCATTCGACCCCAGAGGCAATTGCATTATATTATTCAAATGTTGACCATGAGCTAAATGTGTAAAAAGCAAATATGCGTGTCAATAAACGGTATTGTGTATTAGAAACTAATTTATAAATTAACCTTTACTAATTTGAATAGATGGCGCAGATCTTAAAAGAATTCAGTGTCCATAAAAATCAGTGCATTAAGCGCCATCTAGTTGATTTTAAATAGAAAACCACCAAGGGACTCAGACATATAGCCAACCATCCCCAGCTACTTGAAATGGACCGGTCGTCCAATCTGAACTTCGGCAGATACATTGAATCCATGGCCAAAAATGCAGCCAAGAAGCTTGGCATCCTTTCCAAGGTGAGGCGTTACTTCACACCGGGACAGTTGCTTCAGCTGTACCAAGCACAAGTCCGGTCGTGTATGGAGTACTGTTGCCACCTTTGGGACGACTTTGCTACATGCCAACTGGCCACCTTGGATTCAATTAACAAGCGTGCCAAGAAGCTTATAGGTGAGGGAATTACACGACTTAATTCCTCCTTCCCCTTTCCATCATCGGGGCACTAGGCGTAAGCTTGGATTCCACCCCTATGTTATGGATATTCCAAAGATTCGCAAGAAGCGTTACGCTTCCACATTTATATGGCGAACGGCTATGGAGTGGAATTCCCTGCCTGCAGAATTGTTCCCTGAACGTTATAACTTGGGTCTTTTCAGGCGAGAGTGAATAGGCGTTATTTAGGTGTGCATGCCCCGTCGTCGACCTCATCGCCACTTTCCATCAGGAGATGAGGTCAAATGTACACTTACATTTGAATTTAAAAAAAAATATATATTTACTAAAATAACGGTTATCCGTTACTTTAGTTAATCTAGTGGATTTGTTTATCATCACTAGAAATTAGAGTAATTTTGATCAATTGCAGCTGGTCTAATGTAAAACAAAATAAGTTACAAAAATAGCTATTTGGCGCTCGTGACGACATCTGGTGTACCATTAGGTACTAAATACCCAACTACGCTGTCTTGTGTCGCTACTAGTTCCTAGTCCTAGTCCTCTAGAGCTATTGGACCTTGGTAACTATACATTCGATAATGCCATTTTTTGTGTATACAAACCCTTATACCTAAATGGAATTCCGTTATGACTCAAAGACCAAACCATAGGCAGAGTATATTTACGTAAACGATAAGTGTACACATAGAGTGGACAACACCTCTCTCTGAAATCCTGGGATGATGATAATAATAATATTAACAATGTACCGGACAATCACACCAATTACCTGGTCTCAATCCAAGGAACTCCCTGTACTATGAGAACCCGTGCAGCGAATTTCACTCCAGGGCCCTACCTAGGACACTCATGTTAGAATTAATTAAGAAAAAGTTCATTTCCCGAAGTGGTCTTACTAGACCCGGGAACTTCTGATCCAGAGGGTCTACTCCCGTACCGTACATACATACAGTTTTGTAGCAGTAGAGCTCCTTGTGGAAGAGTTCGTCCAGGGAAGGACTGCCACCTTAAGTGTAGCAGGTAAGGGTGCTGGTGAAAGTACAGGCACATGAGACTCGTCTACTTATGTCTCAGAGTGACGGGCACAGTGGCGATGCCCCCAAGATCTTTTGCGATTAAAAGCTCTGAATGGCACAGCAACTGTTGTGGATAGGCGTGTCGTGTACCACCAAGCGCACGAATTATTCGTCCCGCTGTCGCTTGATATTATAAAAAAACCAGTTGTTGTAAAAACCAAAAACAAAGTTCTGCTACGAGCACAGAAAAATTCGTAAGGTCTTGTAATTCGTTCCGTAGCTCAGTTGGGAGTGCGTCTAGCACGGTTTGCATGAAGTTCGAGTCCTTTTGGATCGAAGGAACTTTTCTTTGTGTTTGATCTTTTTATTAATAATTGTAACAAACTAGTGGAGTAATTTCACAAAAAAATTGTTAAATATCATGGAAGTAAATAAACTTAAAAAACACAAAAATAGTTACATTTTTTATTACAAAACTATTCTTCTAAATCCACTACCATTATTAAATAATTACTAGTTACATAACAAAAATGTAGAACAAAATACATTACAATAATTCCGAGTTTTAGAGGTAGGTAATTATCAACTCCATGTGTATTACTTCCTTGAAGTTTATGTAAATACCGCTCTACCCATTCCGCGCTGCCTTGACGCTTTAAATTCCGAACAAAGCGAAATAATGCCACCGCGCCCAGTGTGTACATTTCCTAAGATCTGTGTAACCTTTTACATTTCAGGATTCTGAGCTGTCAGTGTTCGAGACGACGATCCGCTTCGTGGGCGGGCTGCTAGCGTGTTACGCTCTCACGGGTGACTCCATGTTCAAAGACAAGGCTGCTGAGGTAGCTGACGCCTTGCTGCCGGCCTTTGAGACTCCCACTGGACTACCTTATGCCCTCATCAATCCTTCTACTAAGGTATGTTTGTAAACCCTGCTGTGAAGTGTATTAATATAATAATAATGTATTAATAACCTTCTAAGGCCCCGTGTACATCAAGAAGTATATAATGCTTATTTCTGCCGCCAAGCAGTTATGTCAGCATTACTGTGTTCCGGTTGAGTGCTGGTGAAATTAAAGGCACATGGGGCAACTTATTTCACAGGGTGTCGGACACAGTGGCAGTGACACTGCAACTGTTGTGGACAGATGTATCGCTTACCATCAGGCGAACGTTTCGTTCGTCCCGTCACTTACTATTATAAAAACCTAGCAAGCAGATCGGAGTCCCATCAATCCCCTATCATTTCAAGAACTCTGTTTGAGCTCTCTCGCACTCTCTCTCTTACACTCGCGTCGGCAAACATGCCCGACGCACTGCGGTAGCGAGGAAGACCTAAGTAAAACTGACCCATAGGCTACTTGTATAGAATATCTGACAGTATGCTTTATAAAGCGTTATTTTGATTTTTTTACACATTACAGTTATAGTGGTACCCAGAGCTTTATATTGCAAAGATCTGAGGGGCACTGCCAAGCGCTCGTCACCCTGAGACATAAGTAGACGAGTCTCATATGCTTGTAATTTCACCAGCATCCTTAACCTTCAAAACCGGAACACAGTAATGCTGAAATTACAGCATGGCGACAGAAATAAGTAAGGTGGCAGTGCTACCCTGGACGAACTTTTTACACGAAGCTCTACTGCTAGCTACTACATATTTAGTCTATAATCAAAGTCTAAGCTACTCAAAATTTAAGGTACTGCTCGTTCACTGCGCCGACTTCCCCGAGAAGAACGAGCAAGAAACTCTAGGGATTGCTCTTTTCAAATAAACGTAAATGCTATGGAATACACTTTGAATCAAATTTGTGTGGATTCTGGAGCCATGTCGTCTTTCCATACATCTTTATCTAACACGTAGTCTACAATTTTGTAATATGACTTGTACATTAAAATACTTTTAATCTAAATTTTAAACTTAATATATGCTCTGGAATATTGTAAAAACTTATATTTTAATTTTATGCGCTGCAGTCGTGTTTTATATGCCGAAGTGAATAAATAAATAAATTGTTCTAGGCAAGCCGGCAATACCACTGGGCTGGTCCTAACAGCATTCTCTCAGAAATCGGCACTCTGCATTTGGAATTCACTTACTTAACCGACATTACAGGAAACGAGGGTAAGTGTCTTCTTGGCTATTAACATTTAGATTTGCCACGAACAGCATTTTGCACTCACATAATAAAGTGAAGTTGTTTTAAAAGTAACATTTTTGAGATGCTGACAATATAAAATTTATTGGATATTACGATGTTTTATCATAATGTTATTCTTTTTTTTTTGTAAAACTACTCTAGTTTGTTACAATAAAAACAAAGGTCAAACACTAAGAAAACATTCCTTCAATCCGGCTGACAGAGCGTAAGCCACGGTATACTGAAGACGCTAGTTCGAATGTATTCCTATCGAAGGAATTATTTGTAATGTTCGATCTCTTTATTAATAATTACCGACTTAAAAAAACGTACGAAATAAAAGTAATAAATAATTATTATTTTTATTTTTTATTTATTATCGTTTTTCATATCAAATACATTTGTGTTGTATTTGACTTTTTAAATTTGTTTTGTCAGTTTCTCAAAAGTTCTTTTTTCTATAACGTCAGTTTATTTATAATCCAGTGTGCGATTTAAATTGCCAGTATTTGTTTAATATTGTTATTATTGTAATATAAAGAAGAAGAATTAAATATAAAGAAGAGAAGAATTTCTTTGATCCGAGTCAACTCGATTACTTTGTTTTTGTTCGATTTTTGTATTAATAATAATAATTTGTTTAAATAAAATTCGTATCTAATAGAACATTTTGAAAAATGTTCGCAACGTTTACATTTGACGTTAGCTAAAGCTCATTTTGCCTAATTGTTATTTCACGTATTCCAGTGTACAAAGAGAAGGTGGACCGTATCCGGCAGGTGCTGAACGACATCGAGAAGCCGGGAGACCTGTACCCCAACTACATCAATCCGCGCTCTGGACAATGGGGACAGCGTGAGTACTGTCAATCTTAGATTATACGACTATAAATTGTGCTTAAAGGCGAGGTCTTTGAAGCTAAATTTTAGGAGGTGAGGTATGGGGAGTCGCCGCCCAGAAAATTAATATAAAGAAAATAAGAATAGGCGGAGAAAATTTGACACAGATCCGACGTGACAATCGCCCGATGGCGACTGACGGGGCAGCGTGAATTTAATAATTACAGGGCTTCAGTTGATAACCAAAACATAGTAGGTTCTCTGTAGCACCTCTTTATAAAAATTATGTGCGAAATTACATAATTTTATGCTGTAATAATTCGTTTCAGGCTTTTAATTTTGCCTGTTTTCAGGATTTTATATGTTCGGATAAAGTACATCTTATTGTGTAACATATTAGCACATTCTTTAGAGAACATCCTTAGGTGTATGGTACGTTTTTGTAAGACCATTATTTAATATTTAAATATCTAAATAATTTGATTTAGCAAAACAGTTAGGGTCGTATTCCAGAACTCTACTCAATGCTCAAGTCAGGATTTGAGCAGACTTGAGTATGATTTCAAGCACTGGAAATACGACCCTAATGGCAAGGACTTGGGTATGATTTCTAGTGCTTTGAATCATACTCAAATCCTGACTTGAGCATTGAGTAGAGTTCTAGAATACGACCCTTAATCTCGCTTCCCCTCCGGTGACCCGCCTTAAATCCAGTCGTATACCACGTCTGAGCAGACTGGTATTCCAGGCTTCTGTGTATCGAGCGAAATCGCGCGTAGGCATTATATTAGACTTTTGATCTTTATGGTAAGTCCCAAAATGCTTTTGACTTTTTACATGGCTCTTTCTTTGAGAATTTGCTTCGTCATCGGTCCTTATCGTCTTCAAGAAAAGGAGGTTGTCGAAGTCGAAACCAACTTCTTGCAGGCGAGGTCTGGGCTGCGTGAAGTTGATTACGGCTTCAAGCATTAACTGATCTTTTAGCAACTTTAGGTTTTCGCGATTGTTACACATAGGTAATGAAACTATTTTTCCGGATTTGAATCATAAATGAAACAATTTGTAAAACATAATATAGCGTAAATTGGAATGTTCTTTGGAAAATTTAAAAATAACGTATGTAATTAATAACGTTTGTAAGTATACTGAAAATTAGGGTGGTTTGCATTAATATTTCATATAACTGGTTGATTACTTTACCACCTCAGTGAAGCGTCACCTGCAAAGGGCGTTGAAAACCGAAACGTTGGTTTGTTTGAAAAAAATAAATATACGCGATTTAAATCCCATTTCCTGAAAATGTAATTCAAGATCATATTATTATACATACATCATAAATGTTGTTGAAAAAGTGCTTTCTTCGTGCTTTTGAGTTCAACGATAAATTTTGTGTATCTACTTGGGTATCATTGGTTTGGTGACCCCGTACTTATTTTTTATATAATAATATTCCAGGTCACGTATCCCTTGGCGCTCTCGGCGACTCTTTCTACGAGTACCTGCTGAAAGCGTGGCTGATGTCCGGAGAGACCGACGACCAAGCGCGCATTATGTTCGACACCGCGATGCAAGCCGCGCTCGATAAGATGCTGCGCGTCTCTAACTCTGGCCTGTCCTACTTAGCCGACTTGAAGTCCGGCAGAGTGTTTGAGGAGAAAATGGATCATTTGTCTTGCTTTTCCGGTAAGTGACTTAGAACTACTTACATATTTAACCAACCAACCGCCAGTTACTGTCTTTTGTTTCCATTGACTTACAAATAAATAGACGACGGGTCTAATACAAAAATCACGAAAAAAATGTCCCAAGTCAACCTATTTAAACGTAGTGACATGTAAAGGAATATGAAAAAGCTAAAGCGTTGAATTTAAATTGTAATGTCATCGCAGTACTGTCTAATTTTGCTTGCTTCGCTGTCAGTCGAACAAACGAAGACTAAAGCGTGACGTGAATGACGCTCTGTATACGATTTTAACACCGACACTTTTTAGCGCGGACCCGACGTCCATATAATTGTAAGTTAATGTTTGTTTCAAAGTTTTTGACCCAAAAGAACAATTGGCGAACTTCCATATAAATTTTCGTTGACATGATTTGTATGCGTTTATGTAAACTATGTGAAAATATAGAGTTTAAATTCTTGACAAATTTGGTTTTGGGTTTACTATTCTGAGAAGTCTGGAATTAAATATATTCCAGTTTCAAGTTTTGGAGGTGTATTATTATCTCAAAATAAGCAAGAAGCCTTAACAAGGTTAATAGAAGCTGAATGATGCCGCGGGTTTGTGAATGGCGAAAGTTTACAGGAAAATATTTTTTATAAGGTATGGTCAAAAGGCATGAAGTTAAGCCATAACAAAAGAAAATTGAGTTCATATATACCTTGCAGTGGTAACTTAGGCACAAATTATTTTTTTTTATGAAACATGCCATATTTTGTCCCTGATGTCAGGAACTTTTTTGTCAGTTTTACCACTGTTGCCAAGACCTGGCCTGTAAAGAAACCTGAAAAGTTAGTTAGTTAAGTTTGCTGCAAAAGTTACACTTACCTACTAACTGTAAATTATATGTACACGCCTAAATCCTAAAAATAGTATGTTCGAGAAAAATCAAAGTGTGACCAGTAATTGATTGATTTGATTTTGTTTGTGTTATCTCTGAGTTACTTTTTTGTCTAATTTGATTCAACTATTTTGGATTTACACTAAGAAATATAGTTGAATTTAATAAATTTAATAATAAATCTTAACGTCCTCAAAAGTTACAAAGATTGCCTGAATGTAAATGACATATTAATCGAGTAAGTCAAAAGTTACCAAAAATGTGAGAAGTGTGGTAACATTTCTGGCAACACTGGCTGTTGCTCGCAATTACGAAACGCCCATATTTTGTGACAATGTACCTTAATGATTAAGTAATCGTATGCTACAATTTGTTTATAAATATGTTATTTCATTTCTAATTCTAAATTTTGTCGATTCAAGGATTTCTTTAAATTAAGTCATTAGGTCTGAAGATTCCTGAAGACCTTTTGAGATAGCGATCTTTTGAGTGTCAGCGGACACTTCTGTGTAATTTAGACAGAATATTTCTCTAACCAACTTGAATCTGTAACTCACAATTATAAACTGTTGTTATTTGCAATTTCAGGCGGCATGTTTGCTCTAGCCTCAACGACATTGAAGAACACATTATCTGAACGCTACATGGACGTGGCGCGCAAGCTGACGCACACCTGTCACGAGAGTTATGCTAGATCTGAGACCAAACTCGGGCCTGAGGCTTTCAGGTAATAATATTTATGTAATATAATAACGCACACACGCACACACTCAACATAGCCCCACACTAGGGAAACCCTGTGTCGCGGGTGCCATGGACACACACATAGACAACCACAAATTACACCCAAACTCACGAGAGAAATAAATGTAGGCCATACAAATATTTCTCCCGGCCCGGGAATCGAACCCGGGGACCTCTGCGTGGCAGTCCGGTATGGTAACCGTTCGGCCACGGAGGCAGTTAAAATATACATACATATTGTAGAATGGCGAATAGGCCTACACAAGGTGATTACAATCGGTTTACTTGGTTAATCGTGACGCAACAAATGGAACGCCTGATAATTTGTTCCGACGAAATGAATTGAAAATCGCAAAGTTTATATAGTCTGTCTTTTTTGAAGACCGAGTAAAATTTTCATTATCGATTGAATAATGGTCACGTTTAATGAATAAATAGCCGTACTTGTTTCATGTGAATCGTTCTAAACCCTTATTCATCCTATTACTGAGCCCAAGTTCATTTAAATTGTCAATTTTTGTATATTCACACATACACTGTATGTATAACTATGTTTATGAAAAACATAAAGTGGAGACATATTTTAAAAGTTTTTAACCGACTTCAAAAAAGGAGGAGGTTCTCAATTCGACTGTAAGCTCTTTTTTTTTCTTTTTTCTTTTGTATGTATGTTACGCGATAACTCCGGTATATGTGAACAGATTTTCATGATTCTTTTTTTGTTGGAAAGGGGGTACTTCCATAGTGGTCCCATTTCGTTTTGAAGAAAATCATCCACCTTTAAGGGTGGCTGTTCATGCAGGATTCATTTTTATAAATAGCGCCTAACTTTAATTTAGGAGCAATTATTTTAATGGTTGATTTTGCTATTTCTCCAATTCAAGGCGTTTTTCTCTCAATATACTTTGTGTAGTGAGAACCGATTATTATTATCTCCACTGTCAAGTCCTGTATAGTGGCGAACTAGGGGATATTTAAATAAAACTTAGCAAATAGACGTAATTCCACGTACTTTTGAGGTCGGTTTGTTTAGTACTCTGTACTGAGATTATTATTCATTTTAATTCCATATAGATAATCATATCTGCCTGTTCTTGTTAAAATGTTTGTGAATAGAACATGATCTCGATACTAGTTGCTCAACTATCAAAATAAGATAAAAGAAGGCAATAACGCAATTAGTAATTATTAGAGCGCCGTAACTTTGACAATTCAGTAATTTTTGGCAAAATTTTATCTTCTTTCACAATCTATCGATAAAACTATCGACAACAACTACATAACTATTTAAAATTTTATGAAAACTGCCAACTCTACAAATGTCATTGTACTCCGTCTCCAAAAAAGACAGACTATAGTAAAATATTGCCTATACAGCAACTGCCTCTATCACTCCTATGGAAAAATATCATATTTCGTATCGTTTTATTTTTATACGCGAAGTTGTGCGACAGTTCAACTCGATTAAGATCGAGTTATGAGAAAGTTACAGTTTTACAGCGTTATTGCTTTACGATAAGAAATAATAATACTACAAATGTGACGTTATAACATTTGTCAATTTATTTCCTATGATACAAAGGCTTCAAAGGCATTTCAAGAATGAATTTAGAATCACTGTGATTCTCCTTGCAGCTATTTTTACTTATAATTTTTATGCATCTGGTGCAGTCTAACCAGTCACAAAAATGGGGTATATAATAGTACATTTATTGTAATAAAAATAATTGTAGGAGTCTGGTCTTGTTTAAAAAAAAAATTGATAAAACACAATTGAAATGTAATTTTTATAACAAATTCCAATATTGTAGAATGTCGTATCGTATCGATCGTCGTATCATCAATGGTTATGGCATTCTGGTTTTAAATAATGATGTCATGAACTCGATTAGTATTAGTTTTTCATGAATATAAAGACAGTGAATTGTTCTTGCGTTTTCTACAACTAGCTTGTCTTTCCTTTTCTAGATTTACGGGTGCAGTGGAGGCGCGTGCACAAAAGAGCAATGAGAAAGTGTACCTTTTGAGACCAGAGACCTTCGAGAGTTACTTCATCATGTGGAGACTTACTAAAGATCAGAAGTATCGTGATTGGGGATGGGAGGGTGTGCAGGTATGGACTATCTTGTGAATATTGTTGCATGTGGTATGGCTGAACGCATCAATTGTTCGTCGATACGTCGGGCATAAAAACCGGTTAATTTTCTGAACTGGTTTGAATTCAATTACTCCTAACGAAATGTTAGCGGTTTGGGTTCCGGCTATCGGTAATTTAAACAGTTATTTATTATATTTGCCGGTTTTTTGCAATAGTTTATTTCTTTATTAAAGATTTACCAACATTTAATTGGATTGTTACAATCTTAATAATAAATTTATCAAACAGTTATAGGTAAATACCACTTGCAATTAGTAAAGAGACTATAAAATTAACAACGTAATTTAACAACAAATCAAGTAAAAGGAAAATCAATA